GGATAGAGGTTTTTAAGGAGAGGGATTCAGAGAAATGGAACAGAGTGAAAACCATACATATGTATAATGCGTAGATAGAATATTAGTAATGACTTACCGTAGTCTTTGGTATTGATTGAATTGTATCTTTCTCCCAAAAGATATGTTAAAGCTCTAACCCTCAGTAGTGAAGATTGTTTCCTTATTTGGAAATACAGTCATTGCAAATGCCGTTAGTTAAGATCAGGCCATATTGGTTCATGGTGGGCCACAAATCCAATATGAATGAGGTCTTTATATGAAGGTGACCATGCCAAAGTATAACAGAGAATGGCATGTGGAAATAAAGGTAGAAACTGGAGTACTGCCCACAATTGCCTACAATTGCCAGCAAATCACCAGATAACCAAATGGCATGGAACAGATTCTAGTTTTCAGAAGGAACCAACTCTGCTGACACCTTAATTTGGACTTCTACCCTCCAATCTCTTACAACAACTTTCTGTTGGTTAAGACATCCAGTTTATGGTACTTTGTTACGACAACTGTAGGAAACTAATACAGTCCTTAATTAAGTGAATAGGTTTATGGGCTCATTTTATTATGTTTTTATAGTTCACTACTTGCAAATATATTATATATATACTTTTTATGTATCAAATATTTACATAATAAAAATAAAAAGGCAAAAAATTGTTAATTTTATTACTACCAAACTGTAACATGTTTCTACTATTAATTTTTTTTTTTGAGGTAGTGGTGTTTGAACTCAGGGTGCTGTGGTTGCTGGATAAGAATTCCACCACTTGAGCTACACTCCCAGCTCCGCTGTTCATCCTTATAGCAAATTCCAATAAAGTTTTCAGGACAGTTTTATTAAGACTACAAAAATCAGTTTCCAGTTCACTCCTTGATTTTTACAGTTTTATGTCAAACTCAATGCCACTGGGTTTTTATTCTCTGAATTTAATCATAGTGTGTACATATTTTGAGCGAAGTGTTTTGCATCTAGTCCTGAATGATAATCTCCAAGCACACACCTACAATAAATTATCTCATTGTTGACATGCTGGCATTTGTTTTGCCTCCATTTAACACAAAGTTAAATGTGATTCCCAGATATCTAAAACCACATCAAGGTATGGGGCATGCACGGCACAAAAGTAAGTACATTCTCCTGGTCTAGAAGCCACACCAGAGCAGGGACTCCTATGCTTTGCTCACACAGCAGTATCTCTGCCTCCTAGAAGCAGTTCGGGCTCAAAGCTAAGTTTCCAGTGAATTTTTTAATTGATATACAATGAACAGTTTTGTTAGAGTGCAAACTTCCTAGAAGTAACAATAAAACTTTATCAGCATCTCATCTTCCTCCCCCTACTTTTTATTAGTTTCCTTCATCTGCTGATTCACCAGTTTTCAAGGGCTATCTCTGGAACTATGAACAGGGAATTAGATTTGGGTTGCATATGACCAGACATTGTGTGTGTGAATAAATTTGTAAGTAGTTAATTATTTACTCTTTCTTACAGATTAACATCTTGCTCTACTGATAGTAATATATTCTGTCTTGAGGTGGAGACATGAAGGTGTTTTCAGATCTTTTATTAATACCAGAGAAATATATTTTGTTAGGGGACAAATTCTACAAAGGAATTTCAACAATATATGCAAAGCCTATTTTAAAAATAATGTAATTCATGTGTTACTTTGAAAAATAAATGAATATTGTTTTGAATTTATTATGTAATGAATTGCTGTGATTTGAAATTGAATTCTTGAGATTTCTTTTCTTTTTTTTACCCAGTAGCTATAGAAGCTGATGCTAGTGAAGTAACAGTGAAAGTCTGAAAGTTCTGAAGTTGCAGAACTAAATACTGGAAACGCTGACTGGAGCATTTGTTAATTCAAGCATTTGATGAGTGGCCAGGTGTCATCCCCGGTGAGGATGGAGAGCTGAACAAGACCCGGGTAGAAATTTATTTCAGTGGGAGAGACTATAAGCAAGCCAATAAATGCAGTGTAATGTGATTAAGTGCTATTAATCATTAAAGGAGAGAACAATATACATAGGTGTTCTTTGGATACTGGCCATCCAGGTATAATATTGCTCTATTAATCAAAACATTAAATTCTCTGACCATACCCTAGTAACAGTTTTACAAGTTTGATCATATCAATTAAAAAAAAGTCAATATTTACTACAGAGGAAAACTGCAATCATTCTGGTTTTTTCTACAATCTATTTTATCTCACTTTTGCATTTTATAATCCTTACCAATTTCCAGGGTATTTAGAGGTGCATTCTGATTCTAGAATGGAGGAATGGGGTTTATTTCCATGGGACATGGGTTTTTCATATAGGTGGTGGCAACATTTTACTAAAATAAATCAAGCAAAAGTCAGGAATAGATTCACATGAATGCTTGGTTGGAAAAAATGAGACAGTTAATAAATATGGATCAATGTGATATTAGCAAAAAGCAATCATAGTACAAAAGTGGCTAAATCATAGATGTGGCTCAAAACTATGCAATGAGAGAATACAATGGCTCAAATCACAAGTCTTAATAAAAATGAGTATTTCTTTACTTCATCATAAACTGATCTCCAGAAAATTTGTTATATGCTCATGTCTTTGGATGTACATATGACCAGAAATTCTCTCACTCGTGGACTTTTGTGATCACTAAAAGGTTACTAATCCCTTACCTGTTCAAGAATGCATCTCACCCATTTCCCTTTATTCCTTTAGACAGCTGGGAAAGAGTCAGTCCTCTGTGTGATGGTGACAACACTCAGCTAGAATACCTGTTTTTCACTCCCTAAGGATATCTATCACGAAGTTCTCCCTTAAATGTGTGCCTGATTTCTTTATCCTTTTTCCAGCTGGACTTGGAGTGGGTTCAGTCTGCAAGCTACATCTGGCAGCTCTAGACTTTTCCTTCCTTCCTTCCCTCCTTCCTTCCTTCCTTCCTTCCTTCCTTCCTTCCTTCCTTCCTTCCTTCCTTCCTTCCTTCCTTCCTTCCTTCCTTCCTTCTCCTTCTCCTTCTCCTTCTCCTTCTCCTTCTCCTTCTTCTTCTTCTTCTTCTTCTTCTTCTTCTCTCTCTCTCTCTCTCTCTCTCTCTCTCTCTCTCTCTCTCTCTCTCTCTCTCTCTCTCTCTCTCTCTCTCTCTCTTCCTCCCTCTCCCTCTCTCTCTCCTCTTCTCTTCTCTTTTTTCTTTTCGTTTCTCAGCTGTCCGTATTACTATCGCGAATTCTTAGAAATGCCCTCTTCCGCTTGAAAATGAGTTTAAAACAAAACTTTCCCTAGCTGGACTGCCTGCTGAGAGGGCACTACTGGGGATGCCCTAGCCTCTCCAGTCCTGGTACAAAAGAGGGCGGGGAGGAGAGAGACGAGGAAGGGGCGGAGGTCACCCAGAGCCTCCATCACGCTCAGGCTGGGAGCGTCGCTAGGTACCGCCGGACCAGCCGGTCCCGGCGTTAGGGACCGAGCGCGCAGAGGTGACCGGCGGCTGGACGCGAGCGGGTGCCAGGCAAGAGCGCGGCGCTGCTCTCCGTGGAACCTGCGCGGGGCTGGGTGCGCCATGGCTCACCAAGAGGCGCGCTCTCCTTCTCCGATGACAGCCAGCCCACGACCAGGGGTATGAAGGTAACCATCTCTCCAGAGGCGGGATTCCCACGCATCGGTCTCTGCATGCTCAATCAGATCCAGGTTTAACTCCCCAGGGCTTCCTCCCACCCAGACGCCTGGCGACAGCTGTAGCCGGGCGCTCTGGAGGGCACCTTAGGTTGCGCTTGGCAATACGTTTGGACCAGATTAGCTGTGCTGCAGAGAATTGTGAGGCCCGTGCCCATTGGGAGCTAGGTGGATGGGGACCCGGTAGAGAGGATGTCAAAGAAAGGAAATAGGCACAGGGAGAGATCTTCTCTCCCCTTGGTTCTCCGCCGGAGACACTTCGCGTCCCTTATCCAGGGCCGCTTCAGGCCTTTGGCGCCCCCCAGGGTGGGAGGGAAAACAACCCTCTCGTGTTTGAGCAATCGCAGAAAGTTTCAGCAAGTGAGGAGGTTTGGGGAAGATGTTGCAAGCAGAGGCTCGGGCCCATGAGATATGTAACCCGCGAAAGTCTAACTGTGAGTAAGACCCAAGGCGGCCGCCCTCGGGGCAGCCCGAGCGGCTCCTCTCGGCCGGTCCGGTCCTAGGAGAGGCTGGCTCAGGAATTCCCAGCCTCCCGGAAAGCTGCTTGGGAAACTCCAATCGAATTAGCTGCTGGCAGGGTGACTGTAGTCCTATCTATCTAGCTTCTGTGACTCAGGCCTCAAGCCCCTAGGGAAAGAGCAACAAATAAATACTGGATGTTGTCACTCTGAAGCTGTAACTTTACAGAACGGAGGCAGACGAGCTCAGACTGATCACCTAATTACCCTCTTCTTCCCCATTGAGAACCAAGATTTCTGCACAGGTGGAAGCTAGACCAGAAAACCTTCCCAGAGACTCACTGCTCTGCCTTCCATGGGTCATTGCGTGTGTGGGTCGCTGTTGTGTGATTCAGGTTGTGAAAACATGCTGAGAAACACTCCCGTAACACCCGTGAGCTTACTTGCTCCTCCCGGAGTTTACAGAAGATTGTCATGTCTGCCTGACACACAGGTGGTTCACCTGGGGAATGAGCTGCAGTTTGGAGACAAAGTTCATCAGAGAAAAGAAGAGAACATTTAAATAGATGATTATGCTCTATTGGGTTTAAATCAAATCTTCCTAGTGATTTTGTACTCCTTAAAAGTTTAAAGATGTCAGTGAAGTGCCAGGAGAGCATTTAGGCACTAGTATTTGCAGAAGAAAGTGAGCCAATTTGGGCAGCTTCTTTACCTTGAAAAGGAATGAGAACCAAAGCAGATGATGCAACCTTGCTTATGATAGGCCAGTCAAATCCCATCCCATCCTAGAATGCCAGGACACTTTAGTCTTAAAGTCAGATGACCAGTCATTTGGTGTTTATAATTTCTCTCTCTTTATGCTACAGATACCTGGACTGCAAGCCTGCACAGTTGTGATGGGGAGATGACTTGAGGGGCCAGCTTCTATCTCCACCACAATGTCCATGAACAGTTCCAAGCAGCCAGGGTCTCCTGCAGCTGAGCTCCTTTCAAATACAACCTGCCAGACGGATAACCGGCTTTCAGTGTTTTTTTCAGTAATCTTCATGACAGTGGGAATTTTGTCTAACAGCCTTGCCATTGCCATTCTCATGAAGGCGTATCAGAGATTTAGACAAAAGTCCAAGGCATCGTTCCTGCTTTTGGCTAGTGGCCTGGTGATCACAGATTTCTTTGGTCATCTCATCAATGGAGCTATAGCAGTATTTGTATATTCATCTGATAAAGACTGGATCCGCTTCGACCAATCCAATATCCTCTGCAGTGTTTTTGGTATCTGCATGGTATTCTCTGGTTTGTGCCCACTTTTTCTAGGCAGTGTGATGGCCATTGAGCGGTGTATTGGAGTCACCAAACCAATATTTCATTCTACAAAAATTACATCTAAGCATGTGAAAATGATGTTGAGTGGCGTGTGCTTATTTGCTGTTTTTATAGCTTTGCTACCCATCTTTGCACATCGAGACTATAAAATTCAAGCATCAAGGACATGGTGTTTCTATAACACTGAACACATGGAAGACTGGGAAGATAGATTTTATCTTCTACTTTTTTCTTTTCTGGGCCTGGTAGCTCTTGGTGTTTCATTCTTGTGCAATGCCATCACAGGAATTACACTTTTAAGAGTTAAATTTAAAAGTCATCAGCATAGACAAGGCAGGTCTCATCATTTTGAAATGGTCATCCAGCTCCTGGCTATAATGTGTGTCTCCTGCATTTGCTGGAGTCCATTTCTGGTAAGAAGTTTTGAGAGTTTCTGCTTTCTTGCATTTTTCCATGTTCAATTCAAGGTTTGTTGTCTTTATGTTGGTTTGGAAAGTCAGTTAAAATTCTGGCATTTCCTCCTATAAAAGCTTATTTCCACATCAGTTCAGGTTTAGAGTTAAGCTATCTATGTATGACATTCATGGCTATTTTTCCACAGGCTCTGAATTGAAAGAAATGTGTTGCTAAATAATTCTAACCATAGTGTTATCTGCTTGTATGAAGTACTGTGTAAAGTACCTTTAACAGAAGTAACTACTGAATTAATATTGTTTCTAAAATTTGAAGAATATGATAAGCTATAATACAACATTGGCCCAGAATCTAGTAAGTTTTGTTAGAAAGTGATGCAGACTTTTAATTTGTAAGAAAGGCATAGTAGCCACTAGGTTCTTCTAACATGTAATAACTAGGTCTCAACTTGCAAAGTATGGTGATGAGTTGAGATAGCTGGATAGCTCAGGTGAACAATACAAATAGGGAAGGGAAGAAATCAATAGTTCACTAACTCCCAACAATGCTGATAGTGTGGAGAAGCATGATTGGCAGGAGGATCAGAGACTCTTCCCTTTTTCTTTCATCCCTTTAAAAAATTTTAGCCAGCAGCTGTATGTGATAGCTTGGTATTTTAATTTGGAAATGAAGGTTAAAGTTAAAGAATTAACAACAAATGCAAATTATTCATATTACCTTTCAGATAGAAGATAAGAATCATACTTATGAGAAATGGTATGGCTATAATTCCTCCTAATATTCTACTTTATGATGGAAAGAATGGCCACCTGCCATGAAAGAGGAAAAACAATCCTTCTGTAGGATGAGGTGACAGAAAAGATGGTTTTCATTTTTTTTTCTGCAGCAGTGGGGAAGCAGGCTGGCATCCAGAGATAACAGCACAGATTGCATAAAAGTAAAGTGAGGCAGAAGGAGAGTTGAAACAAGGCAGAAGGTTGAGGCAAGACAAAGGTCATGGCCACAGCCAAGGTGACAGCATGAGGGTGCTTGTCGTTAATGGGTCCCAAACAAGTCCACTGTCCAACAATTGTTGCCAGTGCAGTTTTGATGAGCCATCCTGATGATTTCATACACTTACAACTTTATGAGCACTGCTAGTGCTCAGTAACTTAGGACAGAGTTGATTTGGTATTATAAAAAGGTTTCTTTGTTAATATTTCTATATTTCTATTCATTTTAGTGCTTCACAATTTGAATTTAGGTTCTAATATTGGTAAATTAAAGCTTTTTTAAAATGTTTCTGTTCTGGTCAGATAGACCTACTCAACGGGAGACTAAGTATATTAATGACAAGTCAAACCCTTAATAGGTTGCTTATCATCAATTTAGGAGGTCTTACGTGAATCAAAGCAAGAATCTGATTTGTGCTTATGGTATCGTTATTTGAATTAAATAACAGAGACCAGTTCTAACAGTCTTTGGAACTATATCATTGTTCATTTTTGAGGGTTTAATTTATGCTATTTGGCAAAAGGAATTCATGGAGGAATGCTACTTTTTTTTCTTAACTTTTGAAATAAAGCAGCTTTTCAAAATTAAAAAAAAGAATCTGAATGAGCTGAAATTAATTTGGAGATTGTGAAGGGAATATGAAAAAAGTGAGAAAAGAAGTGGCTGACAATGTTAAAGAAACTTTTAAGATGAAGGTCATAGCTCTAGAGGAACCTTAAAACCATAAGCTAGGTCAATAAGTGAGAGACATACCCTGGACCTCTGAGACACTGTGTTCTGTGTTTATGTGTTTGGATGCACCTTAAACATTCTACTTACTTTTGGTTTTTAACTTTGCAGAAATGGCAGTGATAGGCTAACTGCTGTAAGACTTATGGAAGGAAGCAAAATTTCAGATTCTTGCTATGGATATTTTGAAGTTTCACTTTTCTCTGATTTTCTTTCATGAATTTTTGGTTTCCTTCGTTATTAGAGAAGGTATTACAATTTAATTTGTATTTTGAACATATTTTAAATGGAAACAGTTTCATTTTCATGAAACATTTTCTGAGTTCTACTTTCTCTTTAACCATGAATTATTGATACCTCTATACATTACTACTTCTTAAATGCCTTCAAAATTATTGAAAATTATTTCTGCTAGAATCATAGTAGGTGCACTACAGGTGCTTATTAATGGATTGATGTTTTGAGTTGCTTCAAACATTGTTTGCATTCTTGGTTTGTTTTGTGGAGAGTTGTCTTGATTGTAATTTCTGACCAAAAGATTTATAACTTCTTTTGGTCTGGACAAAAGTGCATTGGGGATTCAGTTAAGGTCATCAGACAGGTATAAATGTAACCCTAGTAAAATAATCAGACTTGAAAATAATACCCACCTCAGTGGAAATGTCTTACCTTTTACTTCAGATGTCTGGGGGAATTTGCATAGATGTTAATGACCAAGTCATCGTTCTTGTTCTTGTGTCCACCTTGTATTTTCAAAGCCTCTTTACTCTCTCTCTTTTGAATTAAGGTCTTGCCATGTTACCCAGGCTGGCGTTGAATTCATGACCTATCTGCCTTAGATTCCTTAGTAGCTGGGATTACAGGTGTGCCCCATTATACCTGGATGGCTTCTTACTTTTTAAAATACCTCTGAAACCAAGCTTTTAGATTTCCAAAGATGTACTATATTGGGGGCAACATCCAGGCCAATGCACTACTTTTCTGTATGATTGATGAGTAAGATGATTGTATTTGCAATTTGAATGAATATCTGTACACACTGTTCACTGTCATTTTCTAACCTCACTGAAACAAGGGAGAGGTGCACATACTAGAAGGAGGAAGTGAGTAAGGTGCAGATGTGGTGTCTGTGCTTGACAGGCTATAATGCCAATATAGTGATTATTTAGAAACAGTACCATAATTTCTAAATCTATTTAAATTTATAGTTATTATATACTTTATTAATTTTCAGGTTGTTTTAAACAATACACAGGTAAAATGATTATGATGTTTGTTTGAATTCTCCCTATAGAATTCTTAAAATGGTTTTTGAATAGTGTTAGGTTTACAAGAAAACCGTGGGGAGCAAAGTTCACATATTATTGTTCCTCTCCCCCACCACCTCAGTTATGCTTAATATTAACATCTTGCTTTGGTGGACACATTTGATTCAATTGGTGAGAAAATGCCAATACATGATTATCCACTAACATCTGTAGTTTACATTAAAGCTCCTTCTTTGTATTGCACATCCTGTGAATTTTGAAAATATATGACACCATGTGTCCACTTTCACAGTATCACACAGAACAGTTTTATTGCCTTAAAACACAATTACAGCTTTTCAAAATCAATGTGTTGTATTTTCCCAAAGCAGAAAAATGTGCTTACCCCCACTCCAGGATTTAATTATAATCCCTATTGAAAAATACAAGAAAAATACAATATACATTTAGCTTATAGTTCCATTTAGAAACAAGTTACCTCCAAAACTTGTTGGAGCATCAAACAACAATTAAAAATTGTCTTGTGAGCGTTCTAGGTAAACTGCGTTTTCTTAATAAGCAATCTTTGATGTTTGTCTGGGGGATGACATTTATCAGTATTTTCAAATAATGTTTTCTTAATATTCTTTGCCTTCATGTGTTGTAATGATTCTTTTTAACGCTCCCTTCCTATAATATATAACCCTGAGATGAATTTATTATTATTGCTGTGTATATTTCACCAATTTGGCAGAGCAATAAATACTTGTTGACTGGTTGACTGTAACTTAAGTAGTATGAATGTCAAGAGATTGGAAATGATTGACCAGAAAATGGATTCTGAGTTTTATAGGTAAGAGTTAAGCGAAAACTGAAACCAAATGGTAATTTCTAATTGGTTTCCTAAGTCAGCAATTGTGGATTTAACAACTACTAAACTTCAGCTGTCTGTTAGTAGATGGCCATATGTTTGTTTTACCATCTCTTTAGAGATGTGGACTATTTTGAATGAGAGGAAATGTGATGTATATGAAAAAAAAATTCTTTCTTCCATAGTTGATAGTTGAGTTGAGCTGAGAAATGTGTTCTCTTGCATATGTAAAGTTTGAGTTTGATTGTTCTAAGCCTGATACTCTTATGCTAATCATTCTAGCCAGTGTAGTTAAATATCACCTGGTCACTAGGGGTGATTATCAGATTCTGATGTTTATCAAAGAATTGGAGGGTTAATTGAGCTTTGAAATTTCTAAAAGTACTGGCATCATAATGACTGGAGTGCTAATGGGAAATTATGGAGCCACAGGACATCATAGAATATTCAAATTATTAAGTGAAGACTGCTGTTTTTGAAAGGATGACTTTCATCAGTATATTTAAAAATAATGTGATGGGAATTTATGTATGTGTCTGTGCCCTTGCCTTAACACTAAACAATGATAAACAATGTGTTTTAAGCGAAGAGAAAATGTGGAAAGTGAATAAACATGTACATACATGTATGTGTGTCCCTGTGTGTAGTGTGTGTATGTATATATAAAGAGTATGTATATATTGTATGTACCTATGTATATACATAAAAATGTGCATTTATATATGTATATGCACACATAATTTAAAAAATTATTCCTCAAATTAAAAAAAGCTAGCTAATTAACTGTTGGATCTGATTATATCAAATAAGAGTTTCTATTAAAATTAAGAATAAAATGTGTTCTTACGGTTTTATTTCAGATTTGGGGAAAAAGGCCTGTTTGTTTTATTGCTGATTGTAGAAGCAATGTTGTGTAAGTTGTTGACTGGATTCTCTTGTGAAGTTGAAGTGTCTCTTTGTTGAATATATGGAAGCCACAGTGAAGTTGTCTGGCTTTAGGTCCTAATGAGATCTGGATTCTACTTTTATGAAATTCTTCACTAACTCAGAAATATTTGACTCAAAGTTCATATCCCAAGAATAGGCATAGTTAAGATAATGCCAACGTAGTGTGATTTGTGGGAGCTTAGGCTGCTTTCTCCCATTTGGGTGGGTATAG